AGTACTGTACTGGTAGAATGTACGAGAAAAGATAGGAACCGTTACAGAATTAGGAACTGGAGAGGGAATGTATCATATTCGTATCGGGTAATAACTCTGTATTCTTTTGTCTGTTTATGCCATGTGCTTGTTTCTTAATATGTACATTTCCGAAATTAAACGCTTTCCGTAAGAAGGCTCTACATCAAGTATTTTTACACCATTCCATTCAAAGTCATGATTTTTTTCAATTCTATGATTCGTAATTACAGATGGAGATTTCGACCCTTTATTAATGTCAGAAACGTGTTTTTTGACCCTTGTTCTTAATTGCCTCTTAGTCTGGCCTACGTAACTCGCATCACAATTCTCGCAAGATATTTTATATACAACATTCTGATTATGTGTATGTTCTAATTTATCTTTACCCTTTTTTATGTAGCCTTCAAGTGTATTAGGAATGATGTAAGCCAATTTATAATCTACCATATTAGCAATAGGTTTAAACTTCTCGGAAATAGAACTGACGCACGGAATAGCAAAAAATCTTTCTGGTAAAACATTAATATTCTTAACATAAGTGTTATTAAAATGATATTTAATTCTATTTTGAATTGTTGAAAAGATAAATTGAATAGGGTATCCATTATTTAAAAATATATTTATCGCATCAATTAAAATGTTCTGTTGAAATTTTGGATGGCACAAACGAATTATTTTGTCTATTACCTCATAAATGACCCCTCTTTTATGACAGATAGAATGTTGAGATTGGAAATTAAGGAATCTACCAGAAAAAGTGGCTTTTATCAAAAATCTGTTTGTAAAAGACACCGTTAAAAACAAAAATTGTAAAATTTAATATTAATCTGAATGCAATCATGAATTCATCTAATGTAATTCTCGTCCCTATGGAAATAGAGTCCCACCTTTTAACAACACTATCAGATGCCAAGTCTATAGGTATGTCAGTGAACAGGGAAATAACATCCAATGGGACTAGTCTCCAATGAGACTAGTGATGAATTCGGTTCCAGTTTAATATTTCTCAATTTATCAATTAAATCACTACTGTTTTTTATATAACTCAGAGGTTTTTTTATAGAATCATTAATGATCTTGTGTAAATAAAGTGATAAATTGTATAATGGACTATTCACTGATGATACTATAATTCGAAGAGGGTAATTAATCTTATGAATTTTTGTCAATCCATACGCCCTTGGAGTATTGCCGTCAGTGTTAAGTAAATTTTTATATGTAGCGTCATCTATAAAACCTTTTTTCTTCCATCTAACTAAAATATCACGTAAATCATTGATAATTTTTCTTGTTGGATCTTTGCTAATCACTTCATAAGTATTCTTATCAGAGAGCATCAATTCCATCTTGTCAGTATAATCAAATTTGTTAAGAGCAACAGTCACATTCCCTTTGTCAGCTTTTGAAAACAATATTTCTGGATGTTCCTTAATGAATTTTTTTGTAGCTATCGTCCATTTTACTAGTAATTTGTTATTACAATTACTTTTTGGAAAATCGTTCTGGAACTTTTCAAGAATCGGAACAACGTTATTTCTCACACTATTAATTATATTCTTAGGTCGATTGTAAATAATGCTTTCAATACTTTTTATAATTCTCTTTTATATATTTCCATCCCTTCTCCTCTACCCATGTTTCCATTAATACCATGGCATCCCATCTTTCCAACCTAACCCAAAAATCCCTATCCTTATTTTCCAACCCTGCCACGTTCCAAAATGCTATCTTCCTTTCTTCCCTTTCCCCCCCTTCTTTCTCCCTTTTCTCCCTCCTACCCTTCTTTACCCTCATTTCTCTGCTCCCTATTTCCCTTATTCCCCCTTCTCTCTCCCCTCCTCTTCCCCCCCTCTTCATTCATTCTCCCCCTTCCTACTCCCTCCTTATCTACCTTAGCCTCCTTACCACACTTATC